TGTTCTTCTTCACGACAATTCTCTCCACCTGTGGCACGTTTGACGCAACGCAAGATTATGGAGTTTGGTTGGGAAGTTCTCCCCCACCCACCATATTCTCTAGATATGGCACCATCAAATTACCATCTTTTTCGTTTGCTGCAACACCACTTTAATGGGAAAAACGTATGCAAATGTGGAAGGTGTTAAAGAGGACAGCAACATGTTTTTTCCTTCAAAGCCAAGTGATTTCTTTAATCAGGGCATTAACTGCCTGTTAAGCATGGAGGCTATTTTATTTAATAAATGTTCTGTTTTGCTATATACGTTGTTCGTGTTTTTTCATCTAAAAAAAGCGATATTAGTTTCTTGACGACTTAATATTTTCCTATACATGAGAAACATAAAGACGGCTTTTTTGTCTCTATATATACAAAACACTTAAGTTTTTTATTTTTGGATATACACTTTTACAAAGAAAGTATGTGGAGAGTCAACAACACTTTACAATAGCATTAATTCTGTGGTATGTCATCATAGAGTAGTGATGCCATGGACAACTTTATATTTAGCTAAGAGCAAATTTTTGACCTTTCGACAGTGAAATGCCGCCATGATAACCTTATGACTGGAGGAGATGTCAGCCCTTTACAGTGAAGGATATTTGTTCAGAGAAATAGCAAAGAGATACAAATCCTAGGCAGACAATAATTTATAACCTTACGGATAGTACAAGCACGGGAAGATCAGTGCACTCATATAACAACATAAAACCACTCAAACAACACTCTACCAAGCAGAGCTGCCATTACCACTACCAAAGTTGGCAGCCAGGAAAACCACCACCAGAAAGTTACTACTAACATGTTTCACATATCCCAATCAACTGTTATTAAGATAAAGTTCACTAAGCGGCACAGCGGTATGTCTGCGGACTTACATCGCTTTGTGCTTAACTTCAAACAAACCAAAGCTTTTTAAAGAAGCAGAAACCATGAATGTTCAAGTTTCTTGCCAAACATATTGGTGGAAGAAAAGCAAACTTCAGAAACAATACATTGAACATGAGACAAGGAATGTTGGACGTGGCCTGGATATATTAAACGACTTTGACTAGAAACAGATGATTTGTTTCCAATTTCAATATAATAAGGGCTTTCCAACATGGCACAGAGAATGTAAAAAATGTTTTTCTCGTGCTGTTTATAGTTGCCGCATTTTGTTTTTTCATATAATGAGAAATTTAAGTTTCGCAAGATGGACATTTAAACAAAAAAAAGTTCTTGTTAATATCAAGGGAACATATTTTGATGCCAGTTATGGGAAATGAAATTCTTTCAGTGTATGGTCAGAACGTTGAAAATAAATTGTTACATCAAGACATACTGCAAAGTCCACAGCAGCGTTTCTATAAACTATGAAAAATGAAAGTGGTGTTCTGACACTTATGAAGTTAACCGATTCTCTACACATGGACTTTTGTGTACTTGCTGATTTAATGAGGTCCCGGAATCTGACATTTGTTTTATAGAGGGTCTGTGGAAAGTTTATCAAATTTGTGTAGGCTGAGATTTATCCTTCACAGAAGCTTGTTCAAAGTGAAACTGCAGTGTTGGCCGATAGTGCTTTAAGGTCACCAGACTGAGTATCATCAACGATGGAAGAAGTACAAAATTCCAAAAGCACCATATGAGATGGAACATCATTCTTGTATAGAGCTATTAACCCTCTATTACTTCGATAGCTTTAATACAACAGTTTTACATGTGTAATTTTCCATGTTATTAATAATTACACAAAATTTGCAAAACACAACAACAAATACATGTGTCTAGTTCGTTATTGGTCGTGTATGTTTTCAAATAACATAAATTTATTTTCTAATTTAATTTTCAGGTACTGGATAGTTCCAAAGAAATGTCACCAAAAGGTAATGAAATGTATTTCTCATTTCCTATATTGTTTAACAAAATTTACTGCTTTATAACTCAGATTTACTTATCAATATTAAACAAATCAAGTGAAGACTTCTTAGATTGTTATTTATGTTGAATATATGATTCAGCGAGGAAAATGCATTATCTGTGTATTAAAGACCTAATATGCAAACTTTTGAACTGTTTTCATTACGATAACTTACAGAATATAAAACATCAAGCTTTCAACATAAATTATTTTAGGGCTCGACTTTATAATCTTAACTTCTGAAACAACTATGGATATTTAATGCAATAGTCTCAATCGAACTTAGTATTCTTACTTGTTTCTTGTTTTTCTTTGCATCAGAAATAATAGAAAGGCATGTCCGAAATAACTATATGGTGGACTTTGATAGATGGGCTCAAGAATATGTCAGTGAACAGGCCAGAAAAACCAATCACAAGGTGTCATGGTGGGATCTCTATGGTAACCATCAACATCTTAAAGAAAGACCACAGTATCATCGGTGAGTATGCTGTATGAACAGGGAATTCTTCTCGTACATTTATCAAGTATATTTATAAAAGTGGAGTACGGTATATTAAAACAATCTTGGGGCTTTTTCACATCATTACAGTCCACGTCGCTACATCTAGCCATGTTCTGTCTGTTGGTTGTGCATCTTGACAATAGCCTTTCAGCGTAGTTTCTATTGCAAGAGGCTCTACTATAAGGCTGTCACTTCCAAAGCGTACCAGCTCTCCCTATGGTTACTCCGTAGACCATGTTGGTATGAAGACAACAATTCCTGCATACGTTTCAAAGTCAGATTGCACAGAAATCCATAGCCACTGCACACAGCCACTTGACTGATATTTCTTCGTATGGATATAATACCCATTTACTTTTCCAGCTTTTTGAAATATGTGATAATTGAGCAGAAATGTTGTGGAATCAACTTGAGTACATGTGATTTCTGTTTTTTAAAAGATCTTGATTGTGTTGCATAATGTTGTCTAGGTCACGTGAAAGGCTTTGGCCCCTGCTGACATTTACGTTCGTGAAATCTCATCTGTTACAAGAAGCCACTCCTTATTTTCCATGTATGGGATACGACTTATTGTAGATCTCTTTCTAGATGGTCCTGGATACCCAAGTTAATCCATATTCCTATATTTTTCAACGCCATTAATTACAACGGATATCTTTAGCTGGATATTTTAAATCTTCGATCTGAACATATCTTTATGTTCTAAGCGTATGAATATTTTGCATCGGAAAGGGATGTTACATAGCTTACCTAAAAAGGGTCAATTTTTGATAAAATCACACCAAACACTCCATCAAACAATGTCAAAATGTCGTTCTGATTAATTCCATAACACCACAACATTAAGTTGTCTGTGATTGGCACGTAACTTGCTGATTTGCACATTCAAAATCATTTTAATATAACGTTTGCAACCCTCTGTAGTAGTGAATATCTAACCTAATAGGCTTACCATTCGCTTTATCTTATTCGTAGTCTAAGTTAGAAGTAAAGAATTAAAGTCATTTCAACACCTATCAGATTAAGGTGTTGAGTTACTTGAAATATTTGTGTAGAAACAACAAGTGCTTTAAATGGTAGTATTAAAATACATTAGTATCTGTAAATTACTATTTTTTTTGACTGAAATATTCCTCTGGCTGCCTAAGTTGTCATTTAATAATTTACTCTATCAAGTTGTTTTAAATAAGCATGTATCAAGGTATACCAAAGATAAATATATTCTATTTCTTGTCTCTTAATGATTTTAATATATATTTTCCTTTTTCTTTGATGATTTTCGTTATTTCTATTTATTACTCTTTAATACAATTCAAATTATTTTGTTCCTTATTGATTAATGGCATTAAATAAGTTATTTATTAGTATTTAGGTTGTTTATTACGGCATTAAAAGTTTTACTTTTCTACATTTTGTGATTTAAGTATTTGAGGCTTTAAAATGCATATTTTGTTATATCCTAGCTTCAAAATTGAAGTAAACACTGGACCAGTCTTCTACAAGCAGGTTAGCAGAACAGTTGATAGGCCTCAGTCAGTTTACACCAACTGGTACCACAATGACCAGTCAAAGGAAAAAATCACTACAGTAATCTCTAAGGAGATCAAGCGACAATCTACCTTCACCTGGTCTTTGGAGCAAGGACTAAAAATTTCGACGAAGGTAGAGGCCAAGGTTGGGATTCCGGAGCTTATTGACGTTAGCACGTCCATTAGCACAGAACTTGACCTCAGAGCTAGCCAAGGAAAGACCACCACCGACGTGGACAGTTTTTCGATCTCTTATACTCTAAACATTGACCCTAAGACTTCTGTAAAAGCAGAATGGGTGATTACGGAGCGCGAGGTAGAAGTCCCCTGGGAGGTAGATATATTTATAGATGGCTGGATTGCAATATGGTTCCACGAGAAATGGGAGGGACACTGGCTTTGGTTTCACCCTATGTGGATGTTGAAAAATGAATACTTTCAACAAAATGGTGATGGTCTCAAATTTAGGGCTCATGGAGTATTCCGTGGAGTTCGTGGGATCGACTCAGTAATTAGAACCTATGAATATCCTTTACAAAAACCGTATTCAGACGTTACAGGTGAGCCCTTGACTAAACCAGGAATTCCCCGTAGGGTCAATACCCATCATATTCCCCAAGGCCGAGAACAGAAGCAGCACGGTGCCCTTGGAGATTAATGACGAGGAACTAATGTCTTCTTCAACGAGTCCAGTGACTCATACTGTACAATCTAGAACCATTCTGATGATCTATAATTCTTAAAGATTAAAGTAAAAAAATATGAAACCAATAAAAGTTGTGGTGTTGTAAAAAAAGAATATATATATATATAACTTAATGCGTCTTCTTTTCTAAATTTATGTTAGGTGTGCACCTATAAACACGGTTAAATCACTGAACAGCAAGCTTGCAAACTGGGCTGTCTTTAAAATCGGGGGAAAATACAGGCGAAAATAGTAAAAACTATTTATGAATTAAGACGTTTTTATATATGTTGCAAATACGCAGAGTCTGGTTGTTAGTTTGTTTTTTATTAGGCACAAAGATGCAAAATGGGCCTCTACCCACTGCGTGTATCGAAACCTGACTTTTTGCGTTATAAGTTGCAAGACTTACCGCCGAGCCACCATGGGGCAACACACAGAGAGTCAAATCTTACGGTGAAATAAAAGTAAAAACAGTCCCAGCTGCGTCGTCGTCGCTTTGACTATTATCACACAAGTTACTTTAAAGTAATAATATTTTATTAATTTTAGTATTAGTTTAAATAAAAAGTGTTCCTGTTTATACCTCTCCATCGGTTTTAATTTGGGTGAGCTAAAAGCCTTGATATTTCTAACATTACTACACTGCGTCTCGTGAGATACTTAGACCATCATTTGGAATTAACAGATTTACATGAACAATACTTACATTATTAAAAAGATAAATAAATACAACAAATTATTCCAGAAAAAAGGTAATTGTTTTAATTTAGGTCAACGTTTCGCTATTACGGCTTCACAGGGCAAACAATATACTTGCTAACTGATTTAGGCCCATAGAAAAGATTTCAAAACAATTCGAGTCTGCGTATTAGGTGGACTTCACGCGAGAATATATAGTTGTTGTAAAATGTATTGTCGTACATTGCGAATTTGAAAGTACATGCAAACAAACAAATTTATACTATTTGAAGAACATATTAAGTTAAATACTCATTAAATACGGATAGTTATAATTAATGATTATACGGTGATTTTTTGTTCAACTGTGACTTATTCTCTTAAATTAACAAGGATTCTTTGCATTTTCTATCTAAACAGCTGTGGTAATGAGTAAGAATGTTCATTGTATGGGACAATGAATATCACTTATACCGAGTTTGTCAGTAAAATGTTCAGCCACAGCACTGACTTTACTATCTAATATATATGTAAATCTTTGAAGGTGTTCGTTAATTCTATCCCTACTAGTTCTGCCTGTTTCACAGATATATACAGAAACACAAAGTTTGCCTATCAAACTATATATTACATTATTGTGGTTACAGTTTCCTCTTAAACCTGATTTACAACCTGCACCTTTGTCTGTGGGTTTAGTGCATGTTTTGGGTTTAAAGGCTGATTTTACTAACATATTGTTCAAAGTTCTGCTTGGTTTCTCTGTAACTTTGATGTCAAGACCAGTTTGTCTGTATGCCTGTCTAATACGAGCTGAAATCTTAGGACTAATGTATGGTATAACAAAATTCGCGTAAAATTGCTTTTTTCATGTGGTAATGTTTCTACATTGTTATCCTTATCCCTGTCCTGTGCATTACACGTGAACATAATAGAACATCACAGAACATAATAACAAAACACCTGAGCATCATATGTGATACACAACTACATTTATTTGATATACAGATGATACTCATGAACGTGGCAATATGAACTGGTTATTTTGGTTCAACGTGTAAGATTAGAAGAGAGCTTCGTATGAGCATCACATGTAACGTTCAAAGCACGTGTGAATTATGAGAGGTTAAGTTACTTTCATTCAAGAGAAAATATAAACCTATGATAAATACAACAATTTTTTTTATTAATTCTTTATATTTTCATTGCCCATTACTCATATTTTCCAACACCTCAATAATGTTTATATAATGCAAAAAAACAAGCTTTACAGAATATCAACAATACATTAAATGATATAAAACAGGGAAAATGTTATTGTGGACTTAGCGTTCACAGTTTCGTAAATTCTTATCAATAAATGTTTTGGATAGCTATTAATGTCTAATTTTTGTACACATTCTTGCATAGCCTTGAATTTTTCTTCATTGGTTGTAAAAGTCTTATTGATACGGTTTAGTTTTCGAATAATATCCACACGTGTAGTGGGCGGTGTGAGTGGTAATGAAAACATGCTGGTTTTTCACAAGGCTTATGATACAGTTTTGTTACAAGTTTGCCATCTTTTAGGATAATCTGAACATCAAGGAACGACAAGACGTTTAATTCTTTGGAGTGTCTAATAGTGAATTTTATAGTAGGGTGGAAGCTATTGAGGAAACCATAAAAAAGTAGTAAATTACTTAAAGAGTCATTCAGAATTTCATAGATGTCGTCAGTATATCTGACCAATATGTCTTGCTTCTTATGTGTTTCCTTATACCAGTATTGCAGTACTCGCCTTTCTACCATATACATGTAAGTAACTGTGAAAATGCTACAGCTACATGATTACTTATAGCAACACCATATAACTGTTGATAGTAACTCTCGTTAAACCGAAAATAACAGTTTCTCAACATCAAATTAAAAATATCTTTAATGCGTTGAATAGTGTAACCCGCTAAATCTACACCGTCTTTATGATTGACCACATCGACTCCTTAATCAATTGGGATGGAGGTGTGAAATGACTCAACATCCAGACTGAATGATATATTATTGGGATTGATGATGTTAATAGTAGTATGAAGAGTTTTAAGAAAGCCTTGGGTGTTTTTTAAATGTGTAGGAATAAAATTCGAACAATTCTGAATTAGGCTATCTACAAGTCACGAGAGTTTCTTCCGTTGGCGAGTCAAGCTGACACAATGGGTCTTTGTGATCCCTGGGAAGATAATAAAATTCAGGTGATCTGTTGTTGTTTGGACTAAGATTATTTATCACGTACTTAAGAAGTGTTAACTTATAACACAAACACAGAACATACTTTTAGTAACTTTGAACCATATGATTAAGAGTTTGCTTCAGAGTACAGGCGTGTCCACTGGGATGACGTGGGGGGGGGAGCAGCAGACCTCATCGGAGAGCTTTGCCCCTCAGCAGTATCCCCATCAGGGGTAGTCTTTCAAGGTTTCCCCCCAGTGGCACAGCGGTATGTCTGCGGACTTACAACGCTAGAATCCGGGTTTCGATACTCGTGGTGGGCAGAGCACAGATAGCCCATTGTGTAGCTTTGTGCTTAATTACAACCAAACCAAACCTTTCAAGGTTTGAAAATTCTCTAACTTCTTCACACTAACTCTTTGCTCCTTTGTGCCGCTATTCTCAAATAAAAAATCCTAGAAATGGCACTGCCTCAGTGAATTAGTAACACGAGTTTCTAAAAGATAAAATGTTTCTATGCTAATAGTTCTCAAAAGAATAACCCCTGAAAATACACTTAATGGCACATAATATAACTATTAATTGACTTGAATAAGCATAGATTCTACATTACTTCAGAGTTGTGCCTTTTTTATCCAACATTCGGAACATCATAAAAAACTATGTAAAAGACCCTAATGAGATGTACCATGTGGTAGTTATTGTACATGACCTCTCTGTATCACCAATGTCTACCGATAGATAACATGTAAACGAACTAGGTGTATTAAGTATGTGTCATGAAAATGTATGTAGGTGATCTCATTGTATCACCGATGTCTACCAATAGATAACATGTAAAAGACCTAGGTGTATTAAGTGAGTGTCATGGGAGTGTATGTACACGATCTCACTGTATCACCAACGTCTACCAATAGATAACAAGTAAAACACCTAGGTGTATTAAGAATGCAACAAGAAGTATATGTACACGATCTCACTGTATCACCAACGTCTACCAATAGATAACAAGTAAAACACCAAGTGTATTAAGAATGCACCAAGAAGTATATGTACACGATCTCACTGTATTACCAATGTCTACCAATAGATAACATGTAAAAGGCCTAGGTGTATTAAGTATGTGTCATGGAAGAGTATGTACACGGCCTCACTGTATCACTGATGTCTACCAACAGATAACACGTAAAAGACCTAGATGTATTAAGGATGTACCATAATAGAGTATATGTACAGAATCTCGGTGTATCACAGAAGTACCATAATAGAGTATGTGTGATGGGTTTACCATGAGAAAGTGTGTATAAAATCTCGATGTATCACTGAACTCTATTATTGTACTTCAGTGATACACCGAGATTTTATACATATACTCTATTATGGTACTACACACTTTCTTATGGTAAACCCTTCACACATACTCTATTATGGTACTTCAGTGATACACCGAGATTCTGTACATACACTCTATTATGGTACTTCAGTGATACACCGAGATTCTGTACATACACTCTATTATGGTACTTCAGTGATACACCGAGATCTTATACATACACTCTCATGGTAAACCCATCACATATATAAGATCTCGGTGTATCACGATTGCTTGTGTCTTTCACTGTTAAAGAGGTCAATTTTTCTTGCACATTTCATTTAGATATTTTTCTAAATATAATAATTTTATTTTTATTTAACTATGATTTTTGTTTATGTAAGGTAACTGGAAAGAAAATATATTTCAGAAAAACTGACAAAATGTTTCAAACTCGCACAAACTACATATATCACAGCTTCATTGAAGATAGGTATTTAGTTTCCTGTGTATAATAACAAGGCCAGGAGGTGCCGGAACTGGATGATAATATCACAATAAGTATTATCAGACCATCTGGTGAGTCCCATAAAGGCAAGGACAATGATAACAAATGTGTTTAAAAAACCTGAAATTTCTTGATTATAAGTTTGTCTTACTGTTTTCAATCACCTACGAAGATGCTAGGCCTGTCGGCATTCTGCGCAATATTGGGTCTTGCCGTTGCGACTCCAGTAAGTACCATTATTTCTTGGAATTAAGGAACATATTCCATTATGGTATACATACTTACATAGACATTATAACATTCTGTTACCTTAACTATTTCTTGTAAAAAAATGAGTGTTTGAAAATTCTAAATGTGGCATAAATGAAAACAAAGATACACGAACTTTTGATATAAGATTCCAAGTTACTATCATTGTCGGAGATAAACCAAGTAGCTCACGAAGCGATCACTCTAGGTATTTTGATCCATTACGTGATATCTCGTAGGCATTTTTACAAGATCAGATTGCAGTTTGATTAAGCATTTCGGCCACTGACCATTTTCAGACAGTGTGGTGCTAACATAATGAGTATATACATATGAATGTATTTTATTTTTCACACACACACACACACAAATTATATGGTGAAACATGGGGAAATAAGCATATCAACAGTTTGTTTGAATTTCGCGCAAAGCTACACGAGAGCTATCTGCGCTAGCCGTTCCTAACTTAGCAGTGTAAGACTAGAGGGAATGCAGCTAGTCATCACCACCCACCGCCAACTCTTTATCCAACGAATAGTGGGATTGATCATCACATTATAACGCCCCCACAGCTGAAAGGGTGAGCATATTTGGTGGTACGGGGATTCGAACCCGCGACCCTCAGATTGCGAGTCGAGCGCACTAACCACTTGGCCATGCCGTGCCATATCCACAGTTAAGCATGGTACTTCAACACTTGAAATAGGGAAAAAGATTTGTCGTTTCTATAACTATTACTCATTGATTATGGAATGTATAAAAATAGACACCAAGTGAATGTTTGACTGATGATTGTTCTGTATTAAATGGTAGGTCTGCCATGACGATATGTAAATTATATACAATAACTCTTTTACACGCATTTTTTTGTGTATAAAACTTTCAAAGGAATAAAACAATTTTCGACAAATATATCTATTTTTTCTTTTTCTTTCAGGGGCTAGATGGATTCGATGATGTTGCAATTAAAGGTAAAACAATATTTTGAATATTTTATTTTTCTTATTTCATAATAAAATACATGTAATCAATTAGCATCAACGGACTTCTCAGTATCAAGATTTTAATTTCTAAAATGTTAATTACCACGTCTTAAAATATTCCTAGTTTTATTTTCAGCTGGAAGTTGGAAGCTATAATTATCATAGCTTGAAATAAATAGTTCACTAGTGCGCATGTGTACCAAAATGTAAAAATGAAGATCGAGTCTTTGCGCATGCCCGTACAATTGCGGAAATATCAAAGAAATCTTCCGTCAGAAATCGGTTCTTAACATCCAGTCTACGAGTCGGTGAGACTAGTTCGGGGAATTGGGTGGGTTACTGAGGGGTGTCACGGTTTCCGGTATTCAAGATAACACCAATAAAATCTATTCCGAAAAAGGGCTCAATCTGTTAACCTCAAAAACCACACTTTAATGGCAAAAGAACTCACCTCTCACTAGTGTTCAGCTACGAAGATGGTGAACGTAGGGTATTGGCTGTAATGTGTTCTTCTTGCATATGACAGTAGAAGTGTTCATGTTTAGGTAGGTATCACATTTAGTCACATTAGGGCGGCAAGTAAGCTTCCTTGAACCGTTCACAACCATCTCTATCAGGAGAACTTGCGAAAATCGCGGATAAAACGGCTATATAGAGCTGAGGAATCAGATCTTGTATTGCGAAACATGTGCAGCCACTACCACGTTTTGTGTGAAATTTTGAATTGGAACATAGATTTTAATCCCTGAAATACTGGAAATTAGGCCATGCTACTGAGCACTTAGATTCAAGATGTCGCAAGGAGTTCAAATCTTTATCCAGAAGTTTTTTAAAAAAGAGTGTTCAAAAGATTTGTTTGGGAATCAATCAATCAAAAATGTCTCCCTGACTCGCATACTTGGTGTTAAATGGTTCCAGTTAAGACTTTAACATGACTAGGATGTTATAAATTTTCTCGGTTTGTCAAGGAATGCCACATACATGATCAAGTAGAGAAAGCTCCTCCATTCCCAAATAAACCACAAAATTGTTTTTTGTTCAATGTGGACCAAAATCGTTAAGACGATTCACATATGAAAATTGTTCTTTCTATTTTTATTAGAGCTTCTGATAATTAAAAACAGACTTTACATTCAAATCCTTAATTACTTTTATCTGTGCACAGAATTAGAATCCATTCTGTATTCTAATAATTCTGTATCGTAATCTTTAATAGCTTTGAAATCATTTTCTCAATATCTAGCGCTATGAAAATTACCATTCAGAACAATGAGTTTAAGATCCAACATCTTGTGAAAAATTCTCCACTAACTATTCTAAGTTTTCAAGATGGCGTACTATTGTTTATACTATTATAAAAGTTGTTCTAGTGGTGTTAATTTACTGGTTGGTCTTTGGTGACTGGGCCTGGTGTTTAGTGTACCTTAAGCGTAAATCTAAGGATTCGCATCTCGTTGCCGAAAAGTTAAAAAAAAAAAAAAAAAAAACTCGCTCTGCAGATAGAGATATTCAAATCTTAGTATTCGGTCTGGCAAAAATATCTCGATAATTGACAGCGGGAGCTGTTGACCAGTTTCCCTCCTTCTAGTCTATCAGTTCATAATTAGGGTTGATCTTGCCGCAGATAGCCCTCGTGTAGCTTTGCTTGTTTGTTTCGAATTTTGCGCAAAGCTACACGAGGGCTATCTGCGCTAGCCGTCCCTAATTGAGCAGAGGGAATTTAGAGGGAAGGCAGCTAGTCATCACTACTCACCGCCAACTCTTTAACCAACGAATAGTAGGATTGACCGTCACTTTATAACGTCCCTACGGTTGAAAGGGTGAGCATGTTTGGTAGGACTGGGATGCGATTCGAGCTCCTTAACTACCTGGCCATGCCGGGCCTGTAGCTTTGCGCGAACATTCTAAGACAAATAAACTGATATGGCTAATTTCAACATTTAACAATTATTGAGATAGAATTTTTAAATTGGAAGATAGCGCAAATGTGCATTGTGTTACATCAACATTTGTCTACTGGGTGCATCATGTAAAAGTAACAACATACACAGTGAAATCTATTTACTATAAAGTGCAACTAAACAACTAAAGGAGCTCGTTAGTTTTCACATAAAGCGCTAGTTGACTTAATCGTAAATTTCATAAATTAGTTCAATATAACTTCTTGAAAGTGGTTATATTAAGCAAGTCGATCCTGAAAGAGTTGATTTTAAGTTAATATATTATGAGAAATAAGCACTTTAACACAAATACTTCCTTCAGTAGATGTTTGTTCGTTTGTTATTAAGCACAAAGCTACACAATGGGCTATCTGTGCTCTGCCCACCACGGGTATCGAAACCCGGATTCTAGCGTTGTAAGTCCGCAGACATACCACTGTGCCACTGGGGAGCTCTTCAGTAGAAGCACTGATCAAACTATGCTGGCATGGACAGGTGGTTAGGGCGCTCGACTCGCAATCTGAAAGTCGCGGGTTCGAATCCCCGTCCCGCCAAACACGCTCGCCCTTTCAGTCGTGGGGGCGTTATAATGTGGCGGTCAACCCCACTATACGTTGGTAAAAGAGTAGCCCAAGTCTTACACTGCTAAATTAGGGACGGCTAGCGCAGATAGTCCTCGTGTAGCTTTGCGCGAAATTCAAAAACAAAGAAACAAACAAAAAATGTGTTACTTGAGGAAGGTGTGAATGTGATTGTTAACTTTCTATTGGCGGTTTAAAAGCTTTAAACACTGATTGTGAATATTTTTCCATAAATCATTCAGTAACAAAAATCTACAAAAACCTGATTTTGTAACTAATCAGTGGCGTAGCAAGACTCTTGTATAAACATTTCCTGTGAGAGGTAGGGAAAGGATGGCTCCACCCACTTACTATTCTTCCAAAAACAATTACGTTCAATAAGTTTCTTTCTTTTATTACTCAGCCTTTAGTCTGCCACCTTAATCATCTAAAAACCGTAAATAGCGAAGATTCTAAATGATAATTCAATGCATTCTTGTTATAAGGTTTATTTTATTGTGTGTTGATTTGTGATGTTATGTACTGCTAGTCAGTTTGTTGTATAAAATTATCTCCATTAATTTATAAGTTATTTCCGGTTCTCATCCACACGATCAGCTAACTTTAGATCAGAAGCTACCAGTAATAAATCTATAGTCAATCAATAAAGAATACAAGCATTTTATAATTAGTTTAATCCAATAATAGTCGTAGTTATCATTTACTAAAACTTCTCTTTCAAACATTCTCAAAAGCAAAGAGCAATGAAGATTGGGTAGATTGGACAAAGGGTATTTTTGTTTTAATTTGTGACATCGTCATCAGAGCCACTCCAAATTCCTAACATAACATTGTACGATTTTGTTTTAAAATCAGAACGTGGTTAGTTAAACGTTAAGAATTAATAATACCTTAATGGGGATTTCATCTTTACCTTCAATGTTTATTGAGCAAACTTTCAACTCTCTATCGTCGTGTATTTATACATATATAAATAGGTCTAAAATTGTTATAAAAACAATATATTTCTTCGTCAAAATACGAATTCAATAGTTTACACCACTGGAGTAACTAACTGACTGACTAAATGCACTGGTTACTCTTCAACTGACTGGCAGACTCACTCATTCAATAACTCACCACTTTATAAAATATTGATAAAAAGTATTATAATTGTTGTAATTTTCTATGATAATTTCATTTTTATTGTTTTATTGACACATGAAGTAGTAGCAGTAGTAGTACTGTCCGCATGTTATCACGTGCATTCATTACAGTATTAATGTCGTGTGCTCACTACGTTTGGTTAGGGAGCTGGACTCATTAAATGAGGGTCACAGAATGGAACCCTGTCATCGAACATGATCACCCTTTCAGCAGTGGGGACGTTATAATTCGATGGTCAATCCCATTATTCGTTAGCAAAGAATATCCCAAGAGTTGGCAGAAGTTAATGTTGCCTAGCTGCCTTCCCTCTAGTCTACACCTTCAAAATTAGGGACAGTTAGCGCAAACAACCTTCGAGTAGTTTTGCGTGAAATTCAGTAAAGGAGTTGAAAGCTTGTTCAATATATATATGTGGGAATATCAACCCTTATTTTGTTTTGCTTTGTTTATGTTATCATTATTTTCCTTTTGTATAAAAACTTTATAACTTTAAGTAGGCTAGGTAGAACCCCGTACGTCTTTGCTGTGGGGCAACTATCCCAATCGCCACATATATTTTTATGGTACTGTTTATCAGGTCAAAAGTCCTTTTTCTTTACAACCTCCATTTCTTATTAATCCTTACTTTAATTCTGATTTGTAAATGAATCGTATAAAATTGACAGAAATTACATTTTGCCAACTTAACCTTGTTCACATCATTACAGTCGTTGAGATTTCGTAACACAAATAGCGTCTCAACCATTACTGTGTCTGTCGTATCCCAGCCGGCTTGAGGAACCCACGCATTTGAGAAAATGCCTCGTCGACAGTGGATAGAGCAGATATAGTGCAGTTGACAAATTCTTCTTTACTTTTACTCTTTAAGTTCTTAGTATTCAGTAATAGCCTCTTCACGTTTGAACTAAACGTTAGTTACTTTGTTACTTTCTTTCCAGTCCAGGATGTGCAATTTTTAAATTATAACACTGAAGACCAAAAACAGCCATATTACAATACCACCAAAATATAACGGCATTTAATGTGTTGTATAGGAAACAATACTTTTAATTATATCTATGTAGTGTAATTTACCGTAGAGTATTTTTGTTGGTACAGATGCAATAGAACGCCATGTTCGCAACAATTACATGGTGGACTTTGATAGGTGGGCACAAGAGTATGTCAATCAACAGGCTAATCAAAACAACCGTAAGGTGTCGTGGTGGGATCTGTATGGTAACCATCAACATCTCAAAGAAAGGCCAGAATATCATCGGTAAGTGACTTGTGGAATAAAACAAGTATATTGATTAAGATTAATAAAATGAATTTAATTTAAATAAGCAAACAGATACATCAACGCATTAAGAAATGCACCCCAGTGGCATGTTTGCAGACTTACAACGCTAGAAACCGGCTTTCGATACCCGTGGTGGGCAGAGTGCAGATAGCCCATTGTGTAGCTTTGTGCTTAACTACAAACAAACAAAATCATTAAGAAATACACAGTATATAATTTTGATAGTTATTTGTGTCATAGGAGGTATATTTTCCTGCTTCATTAAACTATTAAATTACAAAAAACAACAACGAACGAAAACATTGTACACTGTTAGTAATGCCACTAATGCCGTATTTCTGTAGGAAGTGGGCCTACGTTTGATATTAAGCACAACCTGAATACTATTACTAACTCATAGCACCACCCAGTGGTACACATCTGCCAGAAAAGACTGTCAGTGTTCTTATAAAGATGCTTCAAGTCTAATGAGATTTTGAAGTCTGCCCTTTCAGCTCTGAATATGGCAATTTAATAGCTCCTGGTTTCTATAATTCATTCAACTGTTTCCTGTTATTCCCAATCGAATTTTCACCATCTTTCCTCTACTTGATGAGTCCTCTTTCGTTCATATTCGGTGAAGTTTTGTTTATCAATTTCACAACGGCTTTTATCCTTCTCTGGCGTATTGTCTAATTTTCCATTTTTTTAAATCTCATATCTTGTATTTTGAATGATTTCAAATGTTTGCCAGTTCTTTTGGGTTATTCGGCAAAAATAATAATGCAAACTATGGAACACTTAATAACAGGGGCGTCATGCAGATAGTTTCTTTTTCGGGGGGCGGGGCGGAAGGCAGTCAAAAAACAAAGTACTTTTAATATTAGTGGTGGGTTAATAGTAACAATCACACAAATAATAATTTTCTTGTTCGTTTGTAGTTAAGCATAAAGCTGCACAATGGGCTATCTATGCTGTTCGTACCATGGGTATCGAAACCCGGTTTTTAGCGTTATAAGCCTTCAGAGTTACTACTAAGCCACTGGGGGACACAAATGATAATAATTGGGGTGCTTTTAACTTTTCACGTTATAAAAACGAGTATTTCTTTGATTAACTTATTGGTTATGCATACAGACAAACATTTTTGAACATATTTAATAAAACAATTTTATACATGGATTTTGGATTATCAAATCAGTGTGTGAAAATCATTTCGGGGCTCGTGCCTATTTGTGGCCTACGCTAAACGACAACATTTAATTTCTGCAACTTCAGATTTCAATGTTGCCTTATCCAATGCTCACCAATAGGCCTAATTTCACAAATACACTACCTCTAACGGAAATTCTACTTTCTTGTTAATTTGGTATTTTTATTTATTCTTTAAAACACAAACTCATTATTTCGCACCATTGAACTAACTGACTAACTGGCTGACTATATCTACTGATTACTTATTAACTGATTGACAGACTCACCCATTCAATAAATTACCACTTTATTGACTGTATAGCTCCTCAAGTTTTATATATATGTCGCAGATTGATTTATACACTTCAGAGAAAATTCCAGACGCTGTAAAGAATAACACAAATAAAGAGAACCGTCCAACAATATATCTATAGATTGAAGAAAGTCCAAAGTTATTCTGAACACACTGGACTTTATTTTTAAAACTTTCCATGAGCTCTCGATTAACAACATACAGCCTTGGTCAAAATATTTGCATAATGTTCTATATTGATGTTAATTTTTACATGTATGAAGTAGTTACTGAATAAATGCTCGAGTGGTAACAGAGAAGATAGAATATGATCGGACAAAGAGGTATGAGTTGTTATTCTGGTCTGTATAAGTTGTTTCGAGCTTTTGTTCGTCAAAACACACACATACATATCTGTTTTGTATAAAAGTGTGTGCTTTTGGTATGATATTTTTCGAAACAGATCAATGCTTTGTTCAGACAATTTCTCTGTACTTGGTGTAGAGTTATGCCTTGCCACGTGCCAGAAGTTATAGGGTGTCAAATTTGTCTACTGTTCAAAAATGGTATGAAGCAAGCGGACGTTGCCAGAACGGTAGGGTACCCCCAGTGTACTGTATCCAAAATCCTGAAACGTCATCGGACTCCAGGAAACGTTGCTCCAGGAAAGTCTACTGGTAGACGCCGAATAATTACTGCCCGAGATGACCGTGTTTTGATCAGGTTAACACATCGAGACCGAAAGAAGTCTTGCAACATCTTACGACAGGAATGGCATGAACACAATCATTCCACGGTATCCAGAAGAATAGTGAATAGGAGAGGTCAAACAAGGTCATTTTGCAAGAAGGGTTATATGCAAAACGATATAGACCAGAATTCACCACCGTCACCATGTTACTTGGGCAAGACAGCATGCCAACTTACAGTTAGGACATTGGTCTAGAAAACAGACGAGGGAAGACTGTATTTCTCACAGGGAACACACAGGAGGTGGTACAGTAAATGTTTGGGCAGCTATTCATCATGGTGGAAAAACTGCTCTTCATAATCCTTCAGAGAAATGTCAATGGCGCCTCATACAAGCATCACATGGAGACGATATTTCTCCTACATGCTTGGGCAAAGTTTGACAGTAACTTTGGGTTCTAGGATGACAATGCCCCTGCCCAAAGTGCACGTATTGTACAGAATTACCTCGACCAAGAGGATGTTACAAAACTACCATGGCCAGTAAAGTCTCCAGACTGTAATCGCATTGAGAATTGTTGGGCAGGACTAAACCGAAAAAAAGCTAACAACGACCCTAAACCCTATACTGTAGCTGAGTTGCAGTGCCTTCTAGCAACAAGTTGGGATGAAATCATGGTGGATTACAGCAATAACCTCATCGACAGCATGCCAAATTGCTTTGCAGAGGTCATTAGAGTACAAAGAGGACCAATCAAGTACTGATATAACGTTACAGACACTATTTGTAAGAACTTGATGTTATATTTTAGCATTATATGTGTTTTGGTAAGGCTTTATTGTAATAGGTGAAAGGCTGAATGACACATCTTTCTACATGTGTCTGATAAAATTGTTTCCTATTCCAATAAATCGTTTGTGATGTCCATAGAACGTGTATCATTATACAAGTTACATTTGTAAATGTTTAATATAACATGTATTTCTCAGTGTGACAGTACTAAGTGTATTTGTATTCCATCTTAATAATAATTATCTTATTTGTTACAAAATGTTCAAACATTCTGGCTAAGACTGTAAAATGCACTTTCGAAATTATTTCCAGTTCATAGTTATTTGTGAAAATTACAAGTATAGACGCCAAAAACAGTTAATTCTGATATTTATTACGTGAGTAGTGTAGCCTCTGCTGACTTTAATAAGCCCTACGAAGTAGTGCATCATGGTAATCCTATAGCCACAGGCCTATTACTATACTGTCTCAATATCTTTATTGATACTGTATTAATAGCATACTTTATTGCATAACTTGAAAATACTAACAGAAATTATAAACATAATATCTACCGAAAACTTTCGACAATTCCTTTGGTTTAAATGTGTATATTTTTCTAACAACAAATCTCTCAGTCAACTGGACCAATTGTTTGGAAGTAAGTAGGGTCCACATGAGATCCGAAAAACTTTAAAACAATATATAGGAATCTGTAGTGTTTCATCTGAAGAGTCTTTTTCTGTACATTTTCCTAGTTGTTATAGGGATTTTATATATCCCTAAAGTTAACCACTCTCACCTCTGTGGTCATGGTTGTCTACGTCTTACGACAATTCTGTGAACATTCCCGATCTGGAAATAGACATACTTGTTTTCGGCCGTTTGTCATTTTTATTAGAACTAATGAACTTGTTTTTTTTATATCTTATACGGATTGCTTTCTCAGTAACTGATATCTCGTCATGATCGCATCCACATCTGTAGAACGTCGGGCATTTTGCTGCCTTTCACCTGCAAATAAGCTTAGAATCTAATGCTTCTGACATCTATTCTTCGTTTTGGCGAAGACAATGAAATAAATAAGTAGCCTTGACCTAACATCTGCTGGGTTTCCTGAAAGCACTTAAATACTTTTAAATTTTTGCTTTTTTTTTTCTAAATTTGAGAAATACAACTTGCTTGATTGAAAGTCTTTTAGTTCATCAAGATTAAAGGAATTTCCGTCTTGCTATCAATACATCGAATCAAGTGTATTGGCAAGATCTAAAACACAGTAATGAAGGAAGGGATCACATTAGACAAGCTGACAGTTTCGGATCATTCTTTACATTTCAAGAGGGTCTAATGATAATGTTTCCATAATTTATCTACAAAAGACATAAGGATGATTTGCAATACTAATGACTTGATAATTCATATAAGGATCATTCTTTACCCTATCCTTACATTAGCTTTTAGCTTCAGCTAAACTTACTTCAAACTGTTTCTATAAAGAGGTGAACTACTCTCTACACATATATTTCCGTTTTAAAACTAATCTTCGTCTTTGAATTGTTCTTGTTCTATATTGTTCCTCGTATCATCTAGTCGATGCTTCCACATATCATCTTCACTGACTGTGTTATTTGTTTTTAAGTTATAGGTTTCAGTTTTTTCGTTTATGATACGTGAAAGACATTGAGACTCGGTTTTCGTCAAATCTAACAACAAAGTCAAAGCCTATACAATTTCAACACGGAAAAACGGCCACAAGAAACAAGAGCCATCATAAATACTTCATTGTTCATTTTATTTCAAGCCCTTGGAATACTCATAGATTATCACTAGCAGCCCCAATATATGATGCAATCGTCTATTTGGATCTTAAACCGGGATTAATAAGGTGTTATCGATCCTGATTGTACGGTTTTTGCTAAATGTAGTCTTGAAATTGGTATATTCAATACGCTAATCCTAAGTATATGCAACAGCTATAATTCTAAATTATTATTGCATATGATTATAGCAATCCAACAAACAAAACTAATACAGCGCGTGTTAAAAAACGAATTTAATCCATATGATTACGTAATACGCTGAAACTAACCATGAATATTACAAATTGAAATTAACCCTGCAATCCAACAAACAAAACTAATCCAAAGTGTGTTAAAAAACTAATTCAATCCTGACGATTACTTAATATGCTGAAACTAATCATTAATATTACAAGTTGAAATTAATCCTGAATACTGCAAGTTGAATTTAATCCTGAAAATTATATAATAAGTTGGTCTAATGGTGAACTTGTATACTTAATCGTTTACCATTTCTAAAATACTTATGTATTAAAGTTATTGATATTGTTTTGATGTTCAGCTGTGTTTTCTGGAGAGTGAATAACACAAATATTTAAATTGGTAACTCCCTAGGTACAAAATTGAGGTAACCACTGGACCTGTCTTATACAAACCAGTCAGCAGACAACTTGATAGACCTCAGTCAGTTTATACTAAATGGTATCACAATGACCAGGCTAATCAAGATATTACCACAGTCATCTCCAAGGAAATTCAGAGACAGTCTTCGTTTACTTGGTCTTTGCAGCAAGGACTAAAGATTGCAACAAAGGTAGAGGCCAAGGCTGGGATTCCCGAGGTTATTGATGTCAGTACGTCCATCAGCACGGAACTGGACCTTAGGGCCAGTCAGGGAAAAACCACTAGTGAGATAGACACCTTTAAGATTTCATACACTCTTAAGATTGATCCAAAGACTTCCGTAAAAGCAGAATGGGTGATTACGGAACGAGAAATTGAAGTCCCCTGGGAGGCAGATATATCTATAGATGGTTGGATCGCTATTTGGTTCCACGAGAAATGGGAGGGACACTGGCTTTGGTTTCACCCTATGTGGATGTTGAAAAATGAATACTTTCAACAAAATGGCGACGGTCTCAAATTTAGGGCTCATGGACTATTTCGTGGAGTTCGTGGGATCGACTCAGTAATTAGAACCTATGAATATCCTTTACAAAAACCGTATTCAGACGTTACAGGTGAGCCTTTGTCTAATCCCGGAGTTCCTCGTAGGGTCAAGACCCATCATATTCCCCAAGGCCGTGAGCAGAAGCAGCATGGTGCTCTTGGAGATTAGGAAACAGACAGCCATGTTCCATTCTAACGTTTCTACTTGCTCGTATACTAACTAAAACCTTCTTGACTTTTCATCTCAATGTTAAAAAATGTTCAAAAAATAATTTTTATTTAAGCAGTTAAAGGAGTTTAAATTTTCAAATCGTAAAAGATTTGAAAAACTGCACTAAGCAATAAAGTGTACAGAAGCTTAAAACGTTTTTAAAATTTTGTGTTCGTTTTATTCGTTTACAGAAAACATTTTTAAGTTTAGCACACTGATACCTGGCAGTTTTACATGTAACATGTTAGTAGCAGAGTACGAATAATTTAGAGGGCCTATATTAGTTTTAAACAGTTTCAGAAATATTGTCATATTTATGCTCTTGACTAGAGCTTTGATTAACAAAAAATCGCAATTAATAAACGACGTAACGGCTATTACGATGTGAACGCTTTCTACAAGCTGGCAAAGCATGATTATAATTATACTTGTCATAAGACATTAGTACAGAGCTCATTATATTTTAAAACACTACAAGTCTTTATCTAATCCCTTAGGGATCTTAAAGAATTAGAAGAGTGTATGATAATAGTATTTCAACCATATTATATTCGTCATATCAGGTCGCTCTGAAGAGATCTGGATTGAGTGAAACGAGTCGTCGGCAATGGATAAGACGAATCTATAGTCTGGTTGAAATACTGTTATTATACACACTTCCAGTTTTTTAAAATCCCGAAAAGACTAGATAAAGAATGTAGTGTTTAAAAATATAGTTGGCCTAATACTAATGAGGTAACAGTTATTAAAATTCGTTTGCGCTCGTGTAATGTTCAATGTTAAAAAACTCACATTTTTTAAACTACGATTATTTTCAACACAATTCTAAAAATGAGACTGTTCCCATTTTTAAAATTACAATAAAATACAAATAACGTACTGTACAGGATAAAAAAACACAAGTTCGATGAGACTGGAAACAGTCTGGAAGCGTTATAACGTGATAATCAATCATACTATTCAGTGGTAAAAAGTAGTCCAAGAGTTGGCGGTAGGTATTGTTGTCTAGCTGCTGTTTTTATACCCTAGTCTATCACGTCAAAATTAGGAACGGCTAGTGCAAATAGCCCTCGAATTGTTTTGCACAAACAAATATGAACGGAAGAAATCTATTAGAATTCATAGAAGAAACAAATGTGGTATTACTAAATGATAAAACACCGACGCATACATCGTATACGTATGGAAGTAGTGATTACTAAACGAGAAAACACCGACACATACATCGTATACGTATGGAAGTAGTGATTACTAAATGATAAAACACCGACACCATACATCGTATACGTATGGAAGTAGTGATTACTAAACGAGAAAACACCGACACCATACATCGTATACGTATGGAAGTAGTGATTACTAAATGATAAACCACCGACACATACATCGTATCCGTATGGAAGTAATGATTACTAAATGATAAAACACCGACACATACATCGTATACGTATGGAAGTAATGATTACTAAATGATAAAACACCGACACATACATCGAATACGTATGGAAGTAGTGATTACTAAATGATCAAAACACCGACACATACATCGTATACGCATGAAAGTAGTGAAATACTTGATTTAAGTTTATGCTCCTTCGATATAAGACAAAAATTTGTCAAATTTAGAGTAGGGCGAGATGTCGACCACTTGCCAATATGGTGTATTTTCAATCTCACCTCCCATAAAAATAAATCCTACAAAACTGAAAAATTTAATTATAAAAAAGTAAATTAGGACAAATATAAATTACAAGTAGATCAACTACTGCCAAAATACATTATCCTTAACGCAACGAAGCAGACGGAAATTGATGCATATTGTGAAGCAATTATCGAGTGCCTTACCAAAACAGATAAAGAAACAATACTTACACATAAACACTTAACAATAAATCACACATGGCAACCACAAACACAAGTACTAAATATGATCAAAAAATGACGTCAACTCAGAAGACAATATATACAAAACAAAGACCCAACAATTAAGACACAAATAAATGCAATAAGAAATAAAATAAAAACGAAAGTGAAACTTTTAACTCTTTTTAGCATGGGCTTGGTCCCTGGGACCGACATCGTAACCATTTTGTGCTTGTTATAGTTTTCATACTATAACTTTTAAATTAGTAAGCGAATGTTAACGAAAGTTGGCAGGTTATTAGTAAACATTACAATGCTTTCATATGCAAAATATCAATTGTTTTATTATTAAGTGTTAAAGTTTTGTTAAGCAATGTTTTTCTCATGTCTTTCTTTTTCTTTTCGCATGTTCCCTATCCAACATTCAAAGTAATGTTCATTTTAAAATTAAAAATACTTTTATGAATCAGAAAATTTTCAAATTTCATAAGCAAAATCTTAATAATGTCCAGATAGTTGTCAAACATTTCTTAAGAAAAAACTTTATATTTTCGCTAATCAATCTCTGTACGGATTTGGTAAATTTGACTGATCTCGTAATCACCATAAAAAATAGGAAATAAATATAAGTTATGCCTTTTTCATTCTAGAATGACTACAAATTATAACATGAAAACATAAATGCTTCGACTAAATAGCTTAAATCTCATAACATTATACATTTATATTATTTTTATTATATTGACCTTTCAGCCATGCCTGGCTAACAATACAAAAGTTACAATAACGCGGCACACGTGCTCTCATGTTACCGTATTCAATAATATAAAACTGACCTTTAGTCTTTACAAAGTGACCTGTCTTGGCTGTGTTTTATTGGGCTAGTATTTTGTAAAATACAGTCACTTTCAATTAATATACATTATATGTGTATATAGATTATTACTATTTGCAAATAAGTTCTTAAACTTATTTTTCTTAAACATAGAACAGGAAGTAAACAATTATCTCTTGTAGTTACGACCTTTGTACTCGGTTGCTAAGCCTTATAAAATTTTGCACGTGGAGGATATGAAACGAAATAATTTTTGTTAGGTTTTATACATACAGTTGAATAACAAACAAAAAATTACTATATCGATACCATAAAATTCCATTATAATATATCAAGTTTAGTAACTAAGCTATATTTTGGTCTAAAAATATGAAATTTTGAATAGGCTAAAGACTCAACTTACCAGCACGAAGGTTTGTCTCGAAAGAAAGAGGTGACGCCGTTATATTTGAAAATGGCTGAGAAAACTACTAGAGGGACATTCTGAGCTTTCGATTGATTATTCACGTGTAATATATTAAAGTAAGTGCATCCAAGAGACTATTTCCAAAAATGGGAAGAGGTGAGTGGGGGCCACTGTGTTTGATTCAGTACAGGAGCGATATCCTAGCAAATAGAAAAGATAAGATGTTCTTATTTTATATTCTAGCTTGTTAATATCGGTAGTTTGAGTTTCCAATTCGTACGAAACTGTAGATTTTGTATTTTGACATCACAAACATCTAATTTGAACTTGTGCTGCATTCAAAATACCACGTGACGCACAAATATCGATGTTTAGCTGTGCTTTTTAATATTTATTCTTAAATTAAGAAATTAACTAAAGTATAATATTAAGATTTGAATTATAATCTACAAGTTGATCCCAAACTTATTGACGTAGATTCATAAAATAGTAGTTCAATGAAATTTTGAATACAAGTCAACAAACGCGATGACATGGCCTTTGACACGTGACCCGTCGAGATAAGGTTAAAATGATATATTAAAACAAGTCAAACGTATAAACAAATGTTCGTTACACTGCTCATTATCACACTTCTGACAGTGGCATTGTCATCCTGGAACAGAAATTTAGTGCCAAACCTTTTCCTAGCATATATCAGAAATATCGTCTTTATGCTATGCCTGTAGGAGATGCCATTGTTGTTTCCCTGGGGGATATGAAAAGCTGTTTTTCTGTCATGATTAATAGCTACTCAAATATGTATTGCACCACCTTCTGCGTATTCTTTGTGGGAAAGAAGTCTTCCCTCATCTATTCTCTAGAAAAACGAACACGAATACTATCATCAGCATTAACAAGCAAGAAACAGGACTCGTCTGAAGAGATAACATGTTGCCAGTGTCCTAACTGTAAGTTGGCATGCTGTCTTGCCCAAGTAACATGGTGACGATGGTAAATTCTAGTTAATATTGGTTTACAGATGGTCCTTTTTGCAAGATAAAATTGTTTGATCAGTCTCTTCGTCCTTTTGGATACCGTGGAATGAATGTGTTTACATCATTTCTGTTGTAAGGTGTTGCAAGACTTCTTTCGACCTTTATGTGTTAACCTGATCGAAACATGGTCATCTCGGGGAGTAGTTTTTCGGCGTCTACCAGTAGACTTTCCTGGAACAATGTTTTCTGTATTCTGGTGACATTTCAGGATTCTGGACATAGTAGACTGGAGGTATCCTACTGTTCTGACAACGTCTGTTTACTTCATACCATTTCTGGACAATTGAACAATTTGACACTTTATAAATTCTGGTCAACGAGTTACTGTACAGAAGAACAGTACGATTTCCAATGCAGGTATTGAAAGAACTGTGGACAGGAGAAGAAGAGTCAGAAGTGAGGAATACATAGTAGTACATGTTATACCTCAGGAACTAACTGGATGAGACCTGTCAACTCGCTCGAGAAAGGCTGTATACAGCTCAAGGCAGTCAGAATCACTTCTATGGCAAGAAGGCTAATGATCGACGTTTCAAGGTCGGACAGAAAGTCTTGACTCTGCTACCCACAGATAATAACACAATCACGCTACAATGGAATGTTCCTTTTGAAGTGCAGGAAGTGGTCAACAGAATAGGCTATAAGGTGAAAGTGAATACGTAGATCAAGATTTATCATCCCTCTCTGTTAAAGGTGTACTTTGAGAGGGAAGCAAACCTGATGGGTGCAGCTATTGAGGCACAAATGAATGTTGCAGGTGTGGCTGTCATAAATGCAGAACCATCCATATATAAAAACCAGACACCTTCTAACCAAATTTTCGCATTTATTTTTCTGTTATTTCGATTTTTTTTGTTTATGAATTTATTAAAGCTTCCACTTGAATTTCAAAGTCACGTCAATTTA